AAAAAAAAAAAAAAAAAAAAAAGAAGAGACCTCGATGATGGGATGATGGACCTCCGGGGTTGGGAAATTGCTGGTTTTTGCTTCTGAGATCCGATGATTATTAGGGTTCGCCTGTACATAGGTTTCGAGAACAGAATCTTCCACATCCAAGTCATGATTTGGATTCCGATCTTGATGGTGTGACGACGGCTTTGGTGATATGTTTGGATACTTACTTCTCTGCCTTTCTTTGCCTGTCCCACCCCACCCACTCACTCACTCGTCCTCAATAACTTATCTTCCCCAGTCCCGGTCCTACGGTCCATCCATCACTGCGTCTATCCGCACTACTCCTCTCAGACCCACCCAGCCACCCAGCCAACCAGCAACCCACCCGCCCATCAGCTCTTTTCTTTCTTCCTTCCTTCTCATTCCTCCCTGCTACGAGAAAAAGAAAAAAAAAAGACCTCGTTTCATCTCAGCCCAGATCAGCCGCACATATGTCTCACGATCAATATCAACCAAATCCAGACGGAGAATGGGAGACTAAGCCCCTCCCCAAAAGAGAGAGAGAAGGGATTGGAGTTGAGAGACGCAGAGAGAAAGGGTTTTTCATTTGCACCTCTTAAAAAGAACAACGCCCAATTCGCGCGCGCCCAGTCTCCATAGTCCTTATCCCATCGATGATTGCCCGTGCGGAAATATGTCACGAAAAAAAAAAAGACATATTTACAGATGCGGGAGAGGAAAGAAGAAAAAGGAAAAGAGAAGAGAGAGAGATGGATACCCCATGCCAGTGCTGTATGTCGTGCGCGTCTGTCTGTCCTTTTCCCTTCTCTCAGCTCAGCCCGCCCGCTAGGTCAAATGAAGAAACTAGAGAGAACCCAGTTATCAAAACGCCACGCCGTTCCGTCCTGTTCTTCAATGCATTCATGCTTGCGTCGATTGGAAAAGGCAAATGAAGGTCTCTTAAGTCAGGGAAGGAGGAGAGGATCCTCGGGAAGAAACGCGAAAGCTGGCAACGTTTCTCCCCTTCCTATTGTTGCGCGCAAAAGCCAGGAACTTTTCGTATCTCGAAATCAATTACTGGCGTTCTATACTCAAACAAGGCTGCTATACCTCAGGTGGAAGGCAGCGCAACGACACAGGCCTTTCAGTTATCGTAACGACCGTTGTTTAGGTCCTCGGTTTGGTGTTCATCGCCATCGTGATGAAGCGTAACGGAATTGAATTCCTCAAAGGGGTCCAAAACCTCACCACCTGGGGTGGCTAGTCCAGAGTCAAGCGGTACTCCTTTCGCTACTGGAGTCATCGCTCTGCCTCCACTGATGTCCACACTCTCGCTTTCCTTAACATTTCGGAAGTTGACAGTGTCAATACCACGTCCTTGGTTTGGGATCATAGGTGGCTTCATATGTCGAATCAAAGCCCATTGCGTAGTTCGGAAGAATGGGTGAGTCTTGACATCTGAAGCACCAGCTCGGGCGCCAAGACGGCGGTTCTCATCCTTGATCAGAAGCTTCCTAATCAGAGATTTGCAAAGACTGCAAGTGCATTAGCAAGTCAGGTCCTCCACAAGCATAATCCTAGACTTACTTGGAGATTGGGGGAGATCCAGAAATCTCCGGAAAGGGTACATCGTCTCTCAAGATGTTGGCAAACGTAGCATTGCGGTTCTTTCCCTTGAAAGGAGTGGTCCCGAACAGCATCTCGTAGATCAATATGCCCAGCGTCCACCAGTCAACCGCACTTGTGTGTCCACACCCCTTGATCACCTCAGGTGCAATGTATTCTTCAGTACCAACAAACGAGTTCGTACGGAAGTTGTTTATGCAGGACTTCGTATCTATCGTGGGTAAGGAGTTGACATTTGCACCGTTTCGGCCTAGGATCATGGTTGGCTTTCCACCTGGGTCAGACTGCTTGGAAAGATCAAAGTCTGATAACATGATGTGTCCAGATTGATGAAGCAATATATCTGGTAATGTTAGCAAGCAACTGGTGGCCAGGAACAATGAGGGGACTTGCTCTCTGGCTTCAAATCTCTGTAGATGAACCCCATCAGATGCAAATACTCTAACGCTGCGGTGACTTCTGCCGCGTAGAATCTCGCATCATCCTCTGGTATGCACTTGCCAGGCCGGGTTTGCAGAGCTCGAAAGAATTCCCCACCACTGCAGTACTCCATACACAAGTACAGATGGTCCTCCGATTGGAAAGAGTGGAATAGAGTTACAATGAATGGATGGTTGCTTGTGGCTAGGATTTCCTGCTCCGCCAAAGCTCTCTTGATCTTGTTCCGCTTGATCATTTCCCTCTTGCTCAGTACTGCCAATTGTTAGTGTAAATTCTTCTGCCGATTTCTCCCTGGAAGCCTCATCACATACCCTTCATAGCATACAGCCTGCTGCTCTTCTTCTCCCGCACCAGATACACCTTCCCTACATCGCCCTTCCCAATCAACTTGATCTTGTCAAAGCTTCCTGGTCCAACCTCCACGTTCCGTACTTTGATGGAATTCGAACTGTACGTCCTTCTGAATGCCATGTTCCGCATGTTAGGTGGCTGCAGGTCTCCTAGGCTGTCTTGTGCTGCTATGCCGACTCCGGTGCCATTCGTCTTTGGATCAACCAATGATAACATGCTCGTGCTTGCATTTTGGGCCAATGGCTCCTTACCAAGCTCGGCAGTCGCAGGTCTGTCACCGCTCCCTTTAGATTTCGTAAAGAGCCCTTGGGCATTTGGAGCGCTGGCTACCCTCCTTAACTTCCGAGCCAGCTCCTCTTTCCCAGCTATTGTGGCCTGGTCGTTGGCACCCGAGACGGCATTACCTTGAAGCGACGGGGTATCTGGCGGACTCGGAGGAACCGAACCTTCGTTGTGATGTCGCAGCGCCGGAGGGCCTTGGTGTGCAAAGTATGGGTTGGCATGAGCCGTCGGGCTGAGTCCATCCTCCAACGGATTGCCCTCACTGGCCACCGTCGTCGACCGATTTCGTCCTGAGCCGGGGAAGAACTTGGATTGGCGGAATGAGCTCTTGCTCTCGGATTTCAGCGACCCATCCTTCTTCTCGTCACTGCTGTTGATGCGGAAGAAGTTCTTCAGCTTCTGCGGAAACGGGCTGTGGCCGTTGTGGTGCTTGTTCGACGACATTGAAAGGCCGGAGAAGGCTCTCTTCTCGTTGGGAAGAGAGTTCGGAGACGAGCCGTGGAATAGGGTTGTCATGGAGAAATCCGCAGCAGCGTTGACAGCAGCTGCAGCGCGGTGCTCGGGAATGAGACAGCCGTGGTAGTGAACGAAGGGAAAAGAGAAAGAGAGAGCTATGTAAGTAGTCGAAATGAATGGGGAGGTCGTCTTGTCGGCTTGTCGTCTTGGGGTTGGGGTGAGGGCCGGGGGGGTTGCCGTTGCCTCAAGTTGCTTCACCTGGCTGGACCGTGCCTTTCGGATGCTATGTAATCAATCCACTCCGCTTGCCGTCCCCGACTTCCGTACGGGGCAGTGACAGTGGCAATGGCCGGCTGGCAGTGGGGGAGTGGGGCGCAGTCACGCGGGAATATTCAGTCGTCGCGACGATGTACCGCCGAGCAGAAAGAATACCAAACACGAAGCTATTCGGAGAAGGATTGGGTGGGCAGACAGGCTAGCAGGATGGATGAATGGAGTGGAAGTGGAGTGGATTGGCGTGGAGGGGGGATTGGGGATTGGGGATAGCGGTTGGCTGGTGCCGGGCTGCAGGTGACCTCAGGAGAGCCTAGAAAAGGGCCGACCGAAGGGAAAGTATATATATCTATATCTACCTATACATCTATATATCTTATATAGGTATCTAATATATCTAATATATCTAATATATCTAATATATCTAATATATCTAATATATCTAATATATCTAATATATCTATGGAACAATAGGTCCCTATCACAGGTATTCCCTCCTCTTCCACCAACGTGAATTTCCCAACTGATGCTCTCTCTACAGGATTATTTGCTTGGCCCCGTGCCGCATCAACAATACCGTCTCTTTCAACTGCAACCCTCTGATCATCGTTGTGCTCCCCCAACCTCAATATCGGCCCTGCAAGACATGTCCGGTCGGGGAAAAGACATCCCCTCTCTCCCCCAGAAGCCATCGGAGAAATCTAAGGAGTAATGCCCGCCTGCGCGATGCCGCCATCTTGGCTGACGAGCTCTTCACGCACGAATAAGAAAGAAGAAATATACGGCTCCGCCTTCTAGAACCTGTACAGAACTTCGAGACGCAGTGCTGACCAAACCTAAGGTAGCATCGGGTCGGAACCCTATCAGAATAGAGGACTACGAGCTTCTACACCTTCGGTCAATTACGTCGTGAACAGATCCGTCACCGGCATCAAGGGCACCTTTGGAAAATTGGCTTGCATTAACAACGAACTACGTCTATCTAACCTCTCCTCTGATTTCCGTATGATTACCATCAAAAGAGCAAGAAGCAATAGCAAAAGGCAGCATCTCAAACCTCTACCCTCTGGTCATGCTCGTATCCACCCCCGACGCGCCAGGGGCAATAAAATGAAACCTTACAATAGTTCTGTATGAAGAGAAGAAAGCCAGGAGAAAACATGCGAATAGTTCTGCACCTATGCAAATGATACAGGTATCGATAACGAGATCGATGAAGCATCTCCCACAGCAGGTCCAGGGATGATAGGAGAGGGGAGGTTTGAAAGTGAGGCGAGGCGGCAGTGCAGCAAGTGATATCGCAAGACCAATCGATGCTTTTCTGTGACATCAAGCCGCCGGGTCTGGATTGCGAGAATCAAAACACCAGTGAGTCATGAGGAAGTCGACAGAAAGCAGAGATAATGGGGTAGTGGCCAGAGCTGTCGATTATTTACCATTCCTCGCCGGGTCGCACCGGTCCCATGCCAGTGGTCGAGGGATTGAGAACCTTGAGGTCTTCCTGACTGATGCCCTTCTGGGTGACATATCTCAAGTAGTTCTCGGCGGTCATAGTATCGGCACCACGGCTGTTTCGTTGGCCGAGTGGACGATTCTCGTAATTGGAAGCCATGGACGAAGCGATGCTAGAAACCTTGCTACCTTCAGCTGGAGCCAGTGACGCAGCTGCAGCGCCACGGTATTGTGGAAGATATCCTTGAGCAGTCGCGGATGAAACTGTTCCAGAAACCGGGGTGCCAATAATGGGTGCCTGGGTAACCTTTCTCAACATGCTCTGCAAGAAGTGAGTCGGTTGATCGGCGCTAGAAGATGTTAGCTGATCGCTCTCATTAGTAGCAAGTAGCTGTTGTGGAAGTACCTCTTGATGTCCTCACGGTCATAGGACTGGGAAGCCTTGGGTGGTGAACCATTGGCACGTGGAGACAGGCGGATGTCAACAGTCGACTCTGACTCTTGAGCGTCATCACTTTGGGATCTGATGCTAGCATCGCTAGTGCCCTTGATCGCATCATCTTTAGGTGGCATCCAGGAATCAACTGTGCTAGTATCACCACCGTCGTCGGACTCAGAAAAGAAGGTGGGATTCTCAGGTGTGACAGGCATCTCGCCAGCAGGCTCGCTGTAGGTGAGCTCCATCTGCTTGATCTTGGGTGGTGGCGATTTGTAGCCAGGGACTCCGCGCTCAGTGAACAGCGTAGTGAAGTCAATTTCATCTGGCATCGTGGTTCTGGCGAAGACTGGCTGGGTGACTGGCTCCGGGTTTGAGACGCCGAGATCATGATCTGCCGAGCGAGCTGGCGATGGGCTTCGATAACCAGCAGCTCCCTTCTCAAGAAACAGATTCTCGAAATGAAGGTCTTCAGTCTCCTTGGGAACAGCGGGCCGGACTATCGACTTGAAAAAAGGTGGTGGCCCGGTTTCTTTGGCAGCTAGAGCGGCATTGGTCTTGACAGGAGATGGGGGATAGAAGTCTCTTCCATCAAACTTGGGCAGTCCACTCTGGGCAGAGCGAGGTGCCTTACCCCAGTACAGGTGTCGAGCACGAAGCTCCTTCTCTGTCAATGGCCGACCGTAGATCAAGTCTTGGGGGCCGGCTGCGTGAGCATTCATGCCAGGAGGGAGAACACCAATTAGGTATGGGACTTGCGAGTTCGGACCTTGCTTATGAATGTTCCCATACAAGTGATACGACCGAGGAAGAGTGTATTGGTGAGTTGCGTTCCAGTTTGTGGTAGCCTTGGCCATGGGTCGAGCTTCGGTCTCTTCTTGGGTCTCTCTTGGCTTTGAGGGTTGAAGAGCAGAGGTAGACAGAGATGTTGGCTTGAGCTCTACGCTGTGCAGTTGCTGATCAAACTGGGATTTTGGACGTGGCTGGAATGGTGGGGCCATCGCAGCAGCCATAGACAACTTCGACTTGGACGACGATTGCTCGAAGCGCGCCGAGTTATTAGCCTCACCGTGGCCCACGATCTTAGTCGCAGTGTCTGGATGCAGGAGCGAACCATGAGAGACTGAGCGATTCAGTTTTTGTTCCTCTGAGGGTCCGCTTGTGGGGCCAGTGCGTGGAGCAAGGTTGACCGCTGTGCCTTCTTGACCAAGGTGAACCCGAAGGAGTGCTTCCATATTACCGATTTGGGCAAGAAGAGCGCTGCGTTGATTCTCCATCATAACTATGTCAATCTGATGCTTATTGTCTGCCAATTGGCCTTCAACCTGCTTGAGATAACCACGCATAACTTGAATCTGAGACTGCATGAACTCTGCGGGAGCGATGACACCAGGCAGTGGCATAAATGAGTATGGTGGGTTCTCGGGAGAAGGGGCCATGCCAGGCATAGCCATCATTGGGTGATGCTGGCCAGTGGCAAACATCATGGGATTAAGTGCGCCTGGGAACTGAAAGGGGCCTTGAGCAGGGAGAAAGCCAGGTGGTGGGTAGAAGTTCGGGTTTCCGAGCATGGAAATGGGAACCGGAAACGCAGATGGAGGAGGTTGAAATCCGTGCGGGACAGGGTAGACAAGCTGCCCATTGTACGAGAATGGCTTGGTTTGGTCGAACTGGTTGGGCGGTGAGATCTTGATGGGCTCTTGGGAGGAGGCTCGGGCCAAGGATGGGGGCGCCTTTACGGTTTGAGAGGCCATATCGGCTATATCTTGGGGCCGAAAGCTCCCTTGCGCAATTGGTGGGTATGTCGAAGGCAAGCGTGACTCCCAAGTGATGGGTTGAATGTTGGTGAGATCGGGCTCGGGGGCAGGTTGGTCACTGTTCCACTCAAGACGAGGTCGTACAGGAGAACGCGTGTTTGGCACGATGCGACCCCCAGCTGTGACTCGAACGTGGGTTGGTGACACAACGGCTCGATAGAATCGTTGGAAATTCTCCGATCTGTGTACAGACAAGCCAGTTGGCGCAGTCTGTGGTTGCGGGTTGGTTTGGGAGCTTGCGTGGGAGGTTGAGTGTGAAGATCGATTTGAGCAGTCGCGTCGACGAAGACCCCAATTTGTATCGTGAGGTGCTCGGGAGTCAGAATGCGGATGAGCTTCGCTCTGCTGCGATGAGTCGGAGATATTCTTTCTGCCGAGCGATTGAGACGCAAGTTTGTTTGTGATGTCCGCGAGGTGGGTTGATTTGTAGGTGATTTGCTCAGGTCTACGGATTGCTTCGTCGGGAATTTTGAAGATGCCGGCTAGGAGATACCCCGTCAGCAAGCTGCTGTATATATTCATCGTGAGATTCGCTTTGCTTACCAGTATCAGGGTGTTTGTTGATATTCTTAACAAGGCAGCACACGACAGGAAGAGATCTTCTGAAGCTCAGCAGCTCCTCGAGGGTGTAGCAACGGGGTGGGGTTGTTGGTGTCATCTTGTTATTGTTTCCGGTGACAGGACTTTTCGCATTTGAAGGCTGTGAGGCGCTCGGACCACAACTTCAGCTCTGACGAAGCCTCTGGCTACCACGAGGCTTGACGAGGATGAGGATGAGGATGAGGATCAGGATCAGGATCAGAATCTTGTAGACAGACTATTATCCAGTCAGCTCTTATTCAAGCCGTCTAGCCACCGCCCTGCGCAGCATCGCCGGGCACCACTGGTACATCAATGCAGTTCAAAGACTACAAAGATAGTGGGTATTGCCAGTATGCACAGTCTGGTGTGATGAGGAGATTCACAAAGAAAGGACTGCTTAGGACTGGGGTACAGGAAGAGCAGCGTAAGCAAAGCAAAGCAAAGCAGAGCGCGCAGTCAAACTCACCACAGCGGGAGCGGGCAAAGACCGGAATCGCAAGAAGGTGTAAGCACGCAGGGGCGGACGGACCTGGGATCGTATCAAGGCAGCAAAAAGGAATGTAGGGCAGTGGTGCTGGAAGTGTGTGGGATGATGTTGGATGGAGGGAAGAGGAAAGGGGGGGGGGGGGGGGAGGAGGAGAGAAGAGAGAGAGGAGAGAAGAGA